AGAGGGACTGCACAGCTCTCACAGTTACTGTGGTCAGGCATCAGCCCGCCCCTCACTTCCCATGCCCTTGCGTTACGTGTGTGTCATAAGCACATCAGAACGGCCATCCTGGGTCAGACCAACGGTCCATCTGGCCCAGTGTCCTGTCTGCCCACAGTGGCCAAAGGTGCCCCAGAGGGAGTGAACAGAGCAGGGACTCATCAAGTGATCCCTCTCCTGTCACCCATTCCCAGCTTCTGACAAACAGAGGCTAAGGACACCATCTCTGCCCATCCTGGCTAGTAGACCTTGATGGACCTACCCTTCATGAGTGTATCTAGTTCTTTTCTGAACCCTGTTAAAGTCTTGGCCTTCAGAACATCCTCTGGCAAGGAGTTCCACAGGTTGACTGTCACTCGAGTTATACTGGTAGGAAAAAGCCTACAAGGATGGAATCTGGCAACCCAGCACGTGGGCAACGGTAACCAAAATGCCTTGTGGGCCATACATAGAACCCCGATGGGCTGCAGGTTGCCCCTCAGCATCTTAGGGTGTTTTCCTGGTATCTGTCCTGCCTGAAGTCTCCCCTTTGCTGCTAACGGTCAGAGCAGACATTGCCGGGTGGCCTGTTGTCGAGAGTCCTGAGCCCTATACTGCAAGAGCTGGGAGGGCGTGGTAGCAGTGGGCTGGTACGTGACCATCTCTGGCTACGGCAGGCCAGCGAGGCACCTCCTTCTCGGAAGGCTCCATGTGACCCAGCAGGTACCTACCCACGCCGACCCCTCCCGAGATGGAGTGTTCCACGTTGGGGCCCATCACCGTGGACAGCGCGGGGAGGAACAAACAGCTGCAAAACAAAGCAAGGAGAAATTCAAGCCTGTCTCTGCGCACCCTTAAGGACCCGGCTCTGTGCTCCCTCCACACCGACTACACCCCGCCCACGGACTGCAGCCCTGCAGCCTCGGCCCCCGGGGCAGCAGCGCAGGGCCTCTAGGCTGAGGAGGAGGGTAAGGACATGGCAGACTTTCTCTGCCGTCTCTAGGAGGGCTGTGGGCCGGCCGTGAGGGGCAGCAGCGCAGGGCATCTAGGCGGAGGAGGAGGGGAAAAACATGGCAGACTCTCTCTGCCATCTCTAGGAGGGCTGTGGGCCGGCCGTGTGAGTTGCTGGCCGGGAGGGAGCTGTGGGGGCAGGAGGATCGGCCGAGACGCTCTTGTTTGGTCCAGAGACTGGAGTCTCTGTGAGGTAACCGAGAGAGAGGCCTAGAGGGCAGCAATACCCGTATCCCTCGGAGGACATGTCGAACTCCACGAAGGGTGGCGCCAAGGACGTGTTGTGCGGCTGGAAGTTCCGCGGCGACGTCATGGAGATGAGGCTCATCGCCGTCTGGAGAGCCCTCGCGGAGCCCCTCGGCACCCACGGGGCACGGGTGGTCTGCGTGGCTGGGGGAGGAGCCTTGGGATTGTCTGGCACGGACGACCGTCACTGCTTCCATCCTGTGGCATGCTTCCTTCCCATTCCACCGACTGCAGCTCCAAAGCGTGGCCCTTATGTGTCACTGCTTCTCCCCACGTGCTCCATGAGACCTCCGTGGGCTGCAGAAACCTTCCCAAGGCCGAGAGGAGAGGGGGGGTAGGGACGGAACCGGGGCAATGAAGCATTAATTCAGTCCGATGGCGAGTTAATTTTTTCTAAGAACGCACTTTCACGTGGAAAGGAAAATGGTTTATTTTCAGCAAATTCAGTCCGATGGCGAGTTAGAAAAAATTAAGAACGCACTTTCACGTGGAAAGGAAAATGGTTTATTTTCAGCAAACTGAAAAAAGTTTTTTTTTTTTTTAAATTTTTAAAGTTTCTTTTCGGATCAGATGAAACCTTTTGTTTGGACACAAATGAGACTTTGGGCTTGGATGTCAACATGTCTCTCAAAGGGACGGACAGACAGACCACGCATTTTTTGAATTTTGAAGTAAAATTCAAGGAACTTTTCAAAAGAAAAAAAATGGGTGCAAACCGAAACAAAAGCAAAGCCCGGCTTTGTTTATTTGGTTTGTTTTCTACAAGCGGCTTGGGGAAACCAACATTTGTTCACAAAGTATTTCAGTGCCGCCAAACCTGCGTTTTTCGCCGAGAAATATTTCAGACCGAAAAAGTCATGAGCAGCAGCTATTCTTTCCCTGCGTAGCTCCTGTGGTGGGAATTCACTCCTCTATCCCTTCTCCCCCTCAGGCCCCTAGCTCTGCCGGCTCCTTCCCCACCTCCATCATTCAACAGCTACACCCAACAGGCCGGCGTGAGGTGAGTTGGTGCCTGCGCAGAGCCTGTGCAGCTGGCTCTCCACCCCCTGCCATTGACGGGGTCTCTGACACCTGTGGAAACCGGGGAGGGGGGCAGACATGCTAGCACTGTGGTCCTGTTCTGGTGAGGCGTGCCGGTGGCGTGGAGCTGGGAGGTGCCCACAGTGAAGAGAGCCCTGTGGAGGGGCGCTCCTTCCGGACCCCGCTTCCAGAGGGCAGGTAGGCCCACGTCTCAGCCCAGTAGGCCACACACCTTTGGGGAGCCTTGGGGGGTATAACCCACCGGCCAGCATTCCCCCAAGCTGTGAGGATTTGAGTCTCTCTCCGCCTCCGGGCGAGACTCTAGCACAGGCTCGCACGGCGAGTTCCGGGTGCTCTCGGCCCAGCTCATGCTGCTGGCCAGTGTGACACCGCGGCCCACTCTAGAGTCCGATTCTGTGGCCCGCGAGGTCTGCGCGGAGGCAGACGCCTTCCCCTTCCGGGCACGGGGACTGGGAACGCGGACGTCAGGCTCCCACGCGGCTGCTCTCCCCTTCATTCCAAGCTGCACGTTAGCCTCCTGATACAACGGACCCTTACCTGGCCTGCTGCACGCCCTGGGCACGGCTGGTGGCGGGGGCCCGAGCCAGAGGAACCGCCTGAGGAAACAAACACCTCTGCGTAGGACACAGACTTGCCAGGCCTTGCTCGGCTCCCTAACTCAATTCATTGCTTTTCTTCATGTAAATCATTGCTCCGGGGTGGGGCTGAGGGGTTCAGGATGCAGCTGCCCCAGCGGGGAGAGGACAACCCCAACTCTCTCTCACCCCAGCAGCCTGCGGCCAGGTGAGAAACACCTTTCCAGGACGCTGCCGACAGCTGGGGGAGGGGCGCATGTCCCCCAGCTGGGAGACAGACAGACACACACTCTCAAATATAAAGTAGAGAGCTGTTGCTTTTTCCACCCTGGTCACACAGGAACGGCCAATGGTAGGTGAATCTAGCGGTAAGGGCCCGCCGGGAGCTAGCCTTGGTGGACCAGGTCTGGCCTGCGGGCCGGTATTTGCCCACCCGCGTCTAGGCCAACGTGTGATGTGCATTCGAACCCCTCTGCACCCCAGTCTTTCCAAAGCCTGCTCCACACTGGCCTTTGTTAACTTCAGTGGAGGCTGTGCAGTCTATGGGTGAGAGCAGGAGCCTGACAAATACGCGTGCAGGTTCTACCACTGCGCCATCGCACTGTATGACTGTCGCTTCGTGCCTCAGTTTCCCCATCTGACAAACAGAGGAAAACACTCCTGAGCGTTCCTCCCAGCTATACTGCAGTTCTTTAATTAACTCCCATTTGTCAGCTGCCTGGAGATCCCCGGCGGGAGGGCTCTACAGAAACGCAGAGAATTACTCTCCTCGGTTCTGCTTCAGCAGTTCTCTCAGGCACCTCTCTAACTGTACGCCAGCGAGGGATCCCGGCGGGGACTTAACGCCCCGGGAGAAATGCCTCGCTGCTCATTCATTTCCTGGGAGGAGCCCCGGTCCTGGCGCAGACCGAGGCCGTAGAGCCAGTCGGCTAAACGCCGGTCGGATACCTCAGGACATCCGGCTCGATGGATTGGGAGGCGAGCTTCTCGAAAATCCTGATGAGAGGCAGTCAGACCAAAAGGCCGTCGAGGACCAGAGGGTGCTGACAGGAGCTCAGGATGGTGCTCAGCAAGCCGGCCGTGCACATCACCTGACGGCTCTTCTCGGACTTCACCAAGGACTGGACGTGATCGGCCACGGCGCATTGGATTTCCTGCGAAAGCTGAAACAAAGAGGGGCCGGGTCAGTGCTGGAGACCCTAGCTCCACAGGCTGGCTCCAGGCAGATCCTTGATTTCACTGGCCTCTGGAGAGCTGCAGAGAGCCAGCCACGAGCAGCAGCAGAAAGGCCAGGCTGGGTCAGACCAAAAGGTCCATCTCGCCCAGTGTCCTGTCTTCCGACAGTGGCCAAGGCCAGGTGTCCCAGAGGGAGTGAACCGAACAGGGAATCATCAAGTGATCCCTCCCTTGTCACCCATTCCCACCTCTAACAAACAGAGGCTAGAGACACCATTTCTAATAGCCACAGGTGGACCTAACCTCCATGAATCTATCTAGCTCTTTTTTGAACTTTGTTAAAATCCTAGTCTTCACAAAATCCTCTGGCAAGGAGTTCCGCAGGTTGTTTGTGCAGTGCGTGAAGTAGTACTTTCTTTTGTTGTTTTAAGCCTGCTACTTGTTCATTTGGTAACCTCTAGGGTACATCTAGACTACATTCTTCTTTCGAAAGGAGATATGAAAATTTGGCACTAATTTGCATATCTTCTTCCAATCGCTTTTTCGAAAGCATTTTTTTTTTAAGAAAGCAGTTTAGATGTGGTTCCTTGGGAAAAAAAAACCCTTTTTATCAAAAGAACCCTGCACATCTCATTTTTGAGGAAGAAGGGTTCTTTCGAAAAAGGGTTTTTTCTCCCCATGTCTAAACTGCTTTAAAAAAAAAAACGCTTTCAAAAAAGCGATCGGAAAAAGATATGCAAATTAGCACCAAATTTGCATATCTCCTTTCGAAAGACGAATGAAGTCTAGATGTACCCCTAGTTCTTATGTGATGGGATCAAGTAAATAACTTTTCTTTATTTACTTTCTCCACACCTGTCATGATCTGTCGTAGCCCCCCCTTAATCTCCTCTTTTCTAAGATGAAAAGTTCTAGTGTTTTTAATTTCTCATCAAATGGGACCCGTTCCAAACCCCACATCATTTTTGTTGCCCTTTTCAGAACCTTTTCCAATGCGCAGAGATCTTTTTTGAGACAAGGCACCATGGATTTACATCATGGATTTATCTTCAGTCTCCTCCCACCACAGACCTTGGTACACCTCCGTTTATCCTGTCCTCATATTCTGCTGATCATTAGTGTCCTGGTAAGACATTGTGTAGCAAGCTTGTACATAAAGTTGTAGGATTCTACTTTACAGAATTACTAAAACATGTTCCTACTCTGGGGAGCAACCACAAACACGTACATAAAATCGTAGGATTCTACTTTACAGGATTACTAAAACATGTTCCTACTCTGGGGAGCAACCACAAACAAATTCCTCAGAAATAAAAGAGAAACTGTTGCTTCAGCCAGGTGTCAACAAAATCAACTGGCCCATCTCCTATTAAATTGCTATTCCCGGGCAGGAAAGAGGGTGTGGGGAAAAAGTCTTCATCTAGCATTAAATCTCAATCACTTAATCTTTTCCCTTCATACAGGACAAAACGTATACTCTCCCAATGCACATAAAAAATCCCTTCCAGGCCCAATATACATTTCTTTTCTTCTAGCAAGAGGACTGGGTAAGCTGTAGAAATGGATGTCTAGTTTTATTTTTATATATACATATTTTTATTGCAGTTCTTTCACTCACTCTGCTACCGGATGAAAACATTATTATTTAGAATCTGCGTAAAGTTGAAAAAAAAATACAGATCGTGGCTAAGTGAAACTGTAGGTTTACTCCAAAATAAATCCAATAGAACCACAATGGAGTACAAAAAGATTGATTTTTCTCATTATCACGGCAGCTCTGTCAATACCAAGATTGCCTTGTTTTGAATAAAATGTGCTGTTTTCAGGAATATTAGTTCCAGTAAAATGGTTTTTGAGTGAAAACGTTAATGGTGGCAGGAAACCAGTCCACATTCCCCCATATCCGCAGATTGATTTCCCTAACACATGGTACGTGCACCGTAAGCTAGTCAACTGGAGGTTCAATTAAAACCGGCTCTGCCTCAGATTGGAGACTTAGGGCAAAATGTCATCTAGTAATTTGCCCAATCGTCCTAAGTAGCCCTAGCTTCCTCCTGCTAGTTGAATTTCTCCCCCTTGCAAATGATGTTGGTTTGTTAGGGGACAGACAAATGCCGCCAAAGGTTCTAAGTGTTGCTTCATTTCAACAGGCTCTGGTCCCTTGGGGCTTAAAAATGCAGGAGAGACAGATCCATAAAACACCAACTAAATCTCGCACTTCCTTCATGCCTCTCATTCAAGGAACTCAACACTCTTTGCAGACGCACATGGATGCAACTTCCTGCTACCGCTCTAAAGGAGATACTCTCTCTCGTTTATGCACCGATCTAGGGATTGGCAAAAGCGCCTGTCGCACCTAATTCCCCTGGCAATTATTGATGGTAAGGGTGCAGCCACATGGCAGCGTTAACGGGATAACGGCTCTTCTTCCGAAATAACAATGCGAGCGTCTACACAGCCATGTGTAAATAAATTAGCAATACATTGCGAAATAAATTAGAAATACATTCGAAATAACGGGCGGCTCAGTCCGACTTCTGTAAACCTCACTCCACGTGGAATAATGCCTCTCCCGAAATAGCTATTTCAAAATAGCCATGGAGCGTCCACACTACTGCTGTTTCAAAATAGCGCCTCCCCCTGGCCAGTCAAAGTAATTACTCCCCAGTGCCTCCTGGGGCTCTCATCAAGATAGCACGTCCACATTAGGGGAGCCCGCCTTGGACTCATTCCCTGTAGTGTAGACGCGCTATTTCGAAAGATGCTATTTTGGAGTATTTCTTCCGGAACAGCGTATTGCGAAATAAGCATGCAGCATAGACATACCCTCAAGCACCCAATATGCTTTGACTTACCAGAAGCGTAGCGAGAATGTTACACGCCCGGGGGCAAAGGCAAAATTTGTGCCCTCCTCCGCCGCCGCCATGTGGCCCCAAACCTGGCGCACTCCTGACCCCGACACTGGGAGGAGGGGGGCGGAGCTTGTACCACGTCTTCCTCCAGTTTGGGGCCGGGCCCTCACATGCACTAACCCACCGGTGGTGATGGAGTAGGGTCGGGCTGTGGGCAGGGAAGAGGCTCCAGCTGGCGGGGGTGGGTGGAGGAGGAGCAGGCGAGCTGAGGGATGACGGGGGAGAGGAGGGGGTCTAAATTGGCACCCCCCTACCGCGGCACCTGGGGACAACTGGCCCCTCCAGCCCCCTCGCTACAGCACTGTGTCTTACCCACTGGGAGGAGCCTAACGCGCACACTTTCAATGCGACAGACTCAAGTCACTGACGTGCTTTTGGAACTGGGCCCCCGAGCAAGGCAGTCACACCGAGCCAGAATGGGGATGAGAACCCAGAACTTGAGTCCCCGGTGGCAGCTGAGAGACCCAAGCCCTCTCTAGCCCAGCAGCTTGCTAATTGGGAGCCGGCCCATTGGCACTGAGTAAGGCCTGCTTGAGAGAATGCCTGCCCACTGTAGAACAGAAGCCACACGTCACGGCCTGCAGCCCCGGTGCGTTGGGACCAGTGGGAAGCAGGCACTGGGAATGGTACAGGCCCGTACTGTGCTTGCATACGGAGGCAGAGCTGTCTGACTTCGGTGATTTCTACCTAGGGCTCTCTGCACGGCTCCCTAGACTTCTGCACCCAGCAAGGTTGCTGAGGCGTTCGGAAGTGAGCTTTTAAAGAAAGGGTCTGGCTTGTGCCGCAGCTCCTGTACTACAGCCTCAGCGCTGAGGGAAGGGCAGCTGGGTGCAGGGTAAGCAACCTCACGCTGCCCGCCGGAGGCAGGGCTAGGAGGGAAGGCGTCTCTTTGAGCTGCAGAAGAACAGGTTAGATAAACACCTGGCAGGGGCAGCCTAGTTTTCTGCCCCTGGATCACCTCTTGTGCCTCCTTTCGGCCCTCCATCAAAAGCGGAGAAGACACCGGAGTAGAGCCTAGGAAAGTTGAGTTTTGGCTCTGTCATTTCTTTGCTTAGCATTTCCCCTCTTCGGGTGTCTGATTCCCCTGGTCTGCTTTGTCTGCTCTGCCCTAGAGAATTCACAATCTCTTACCAGGTGAGTATCTAGGCTGTCACAGAATAGGCCCTGACCAGTTAGGTGCTACGGTAATATAACAGTCAATGCTTATGGGCAGAGAGGTGTCAAATATCGAACAATATCGCCGGGAACGTGAAAGGGACGAACCGAGCACTTCCGCAACTTTATAAGCAGCAGTTGTGCCGTGTGCGTGTGTGTGACGTGCCCTGGCTCTGAACATCAGCCACACGAGCAAATCGTTCCACTTCCGCTACACCAAAGACTCAACCCAAGGGCAAAGGAGCGAGAAAAGATCTAAAAGCAGCAACACCAGGTAAGAACCTGCCCAGGAGAGAGACCTGTGGGAAACAGCACAAAACAGAAACCCCAGCCCGCGCTGATAAACCTGACCCGCAAGACTGATTCAATGATGGAGATGGGTGATGGGTTTTGAATGAAGGAGTCAACTTCTAAAGCCCCATCCATCCTCGGTCATCCCTGAAAGACTCTCCGCACGGCTCACGAGGAACAGAATTACATTTTGAAAAGCGCTGTTTCCCCGAGGCAATACATGCTGTGTACTTCCTGGTTCGCTGACAAGAGCGTGGAATGAGTCTTTCGGAAACATCGCAAAGATCAGGCAGCGACGCTTCTGACAGCTGACAGGCTCCGTCCTCGGAAGCCATCCAGAAAGCAAGACATGCCGAGATCGCTCGAAAGAGGAGACGGCGGTTGTAAAAGTTCCATATTAATACCCTGATGTGGCAAACATCCTGCACCACAAACCTGGCTTACGTGAGACGGGTCGGGAAGTGAGTTTGTGTTGCCATTCATCTTCCAAATAGGTATCAGTTTCATCTTGACACTGATGATTTTGCATTTAAGGGAAGGGATTATTTGCCTTGCAGAAATGTGGCCCTTACATCGAAGCCACATCCACAGTTTGCAAAAGCACCAGGGTTGGTGCTCAGATGAGCGAT